GGGGAATTGAACCTGAGTCTTTGGTATGACAAGCAAACGCTTTCGCCACTAGGCTACCTGACTGCCCCTCTGTCATCAGTGACCGAGGAATGTTGGAACTTAGAAGCCATGACACACAAGGGAAGCATGGAAGAGACAGTGACATGTATGCTTTAGTTTATACAGAATTGTCTTGAGATACAAACAAACCATTGTAGTAGAATTAAAATGTACTGGAATGTCATAAATCATGCAGACTTATCTCCAGAGTCTAACAGCATGTATTTTTATAGCTGTATTTTTAAGACATGCTACATTTGTGAGCTGAATGTCTCATACTTGGAAGGATGCATGTCGCTGCTGCCTTGGGAGTCCCAGTCTCTGGCTATTGATTTGAGGGCAAATAAAACAACAGTGATGTAGAGCAAAGACAGTAAATGGCCTGCTGGCATTATTACACAGACTACTGTGGCATAAATGTGATAATAATGTTCCTAATTCCATGTCAACATCCAGATTAGGCTCCAAGCCAACAACTGTGACAGAATAGGGGATTCAGAATATGTTGACATGGAGACAGGCGGTGGGGCAATAGACAATGCAGTACATGGAGACAGGTGGTGGGGCAATAGAGGATGCAGTACATGGAGACAGGCGGTGGGGCAATAGAGGATGCAGTACATGGAGACAGGTGGTGGGCAATAGAGGATGCAGTACATGGAGACAGGTGGTGGGGCAATAGAGGATGGAGACAGGTGGTGGGGCAATAGAGGATGCAGTACATGGAGACAGGTGGTGGGGAAATAGAGGATGCAATACATGGAGACAGGTGGTGGGGACAATAGAGGATGCAATACATGGAGACAGGCGATGGGGCAATAGAGGATACAGTACATGGAGACAGGTGGTGGGGCAATAGAGGATACAGTACATGGAGACAGGCGGTGGGGCAATAGAGGATGCAGTACATGGAGACAGGCAGTGGGGCAATAGAGGATGCAGTACATGGAGACAGGTGGTGGGGCAATAGAGGATGCAGTACATGGAGACAGGGGGTGGGGCAATAGAGGATGCAGTACATGGAGACAGGCGGTGGGGCAATAGAGGATGCAGTACATGGAGACAGGCAGTGGGGCAATAGAGGATGGAGTACAGGAGACAGGTGGTGGGGCAATAGAGGATGCAGTACATGGAGACAGGCGGTGGGGCAATAGAGGATACAGTACATGGAGACAGGCGGTGGGGCAATAGAGGATGCAGTACATGGAGACAGGCAGTGGGGCAATAGAGGATGCAGTACATGGAGACAGGCGGTGGGGCAATAGAGGATACAGTACATGGAGACAGGTGGTGGGGCAATAGAGGATGCAGTACATGGAGACAGGTGGTGGGGCAATAGAGGATGCAGTACATGGAGACAGGGAGACAGGCAGTGGGGCAATAGAGGATGGTACATGGAGACAGGCGGTGGGGCAATAGAGGATACAGTACATGGAGACAGGGGTGGGGCAATAGAGGATGCAGTACATGGAGACAGGTGGTGGGGCAATAGAGGATGCAGTACATGGAGACAGGTGGTGGGGCAATAGGTGATGCAGTAGATAGAGACAGAGTGTGGGGAAGAAGATAATGCAGTATATGGAGACTGGAGAATCCACGCTTCTTTATTCTCCTGACCTTATTACTGTAGGACATTTTCAGGATGAATGTATTTGGTGATAGGCAGTCAATAGAAGGGGGTCTATTAGACACCATGTCTTTTGAGGTGAGCAGTTATGGGTCAGTTTATGGGATGCTGGATCAATTGTGGCTCCGTTCGTAACTGTTTATTGCATAAGAGTGGCGTGACGTGCTGAAACACTTCACCTATCCATTAGATTCAAAGTACGCCTAATATTTGATCAAAGTGGTGAGTGTTAATAGCCTCATTACTTCTTCCTGTTTCTTTCCCCGAGTCCAGAGAGACTGGAGCTAAATCAAGTGCAGAGTCATGTCACTGTCAGCTCCAAATCATTCGCTGAAAAGTCAGCTAAATTTGTCGCTACTCTCTTCTTATTTGATTGCATCCTTCAAAGATCTCTGTTTGACTTTCTTTGACTGGCGTTATTTCCTTGTGAATTTACAGCACGGTGTTGAAGACTGTGTCTTGAACAGCTCTATTTATAGGCTCTCCCTGGAGTGAATGCTTCCTAATTAAAAGAATATGTTATAATTCTTCTTTGATTGGCTCTGTCTTTTCTTTGATGGCTCGGACATGGAAGGACAATAATGATCTTAAAATGATTGTGCCCTCAGTCTCCTTTGTGTGATGCAATATCTGTGAGAATACCACCGATTTAAGATCAAAGATAGTTGAGCACAATGTAGCAGGCATCCAGGACGCTTTTTATTCATTACATGAAACATCTCTCTTATAATACTACCCATGGCATGAAGATTTGCCTAGGTTTTCAATGAGCATTGTCAACTTCTAAGACATGATGAATCTGGATTATTTGAAGGAATCAACTTTCGAAATGATCAAAAACGTTTTGTTCTATCTCTTTTATAAGAAATCTCTCTTCGTATTCGTTTTCAAATATCTGATTGATCATCTATGTATGTTAAATTGAATTTGAAATCCAACATTAATGTGAACGTCTCTACAGAGATAAATGCAATTTGTTCTGTTTTTCTGCTTGACGAGATTAAAGACAATGTGTTTCATAAAAGCAACTTTTCTTTTCTTTCTGTTTCTTTGTCAGATTTTATGTCTAATGATGAATGTTTTCATGATTATCTGATGTTAGATCTAAGGGACACAATGCAGCTTGTGGTAGGAGGGGAAGAAATGCAATATACCAATTTTACAATATTCAAGTAGAACAAAATTCAACATGTAGTGAGTGTGTGATTCACACTTCTCTAAAAATAAATAATGCATTTCTCTCAGTAATACTATCAGCCCCAAGGGAAGCTACCATATATTTTATTCAATTTAAAAATTATTTATTTATTATTAAGTTCAAATGAATTAATGCAATATTGCACTCTCGCTCCCTCTACCGACCAAACATTATTTCAAACAAACCCCATAGAGTTAGGTCCCTTTGAGCGCTCTTTACGAATATCCTACGCACAACTTGTGATTGAAACCAGTTCGGGAAACAATTGTTTACATTTCATATATGGCAAGTGTTCTCTGTTTGGAAGCTGTTTGCCTCAAAGTTTCAATTATCGATTTCCGGCAAGTCGTAAAGGATAATAAGTCTTTTAATGTGTCAATAGGAAACTAAGTGATTGCATATATCCTAGTATGTATAATATAAACCAAACTATTGTCGTAAATGTGTGACATTGTGCCTTTAACATGGGGATGTGCTATAGAACAGCATGGTGATTATGATCTCATTTACCTCCCCTTGCACTCTGTAGACAGCATGGCTGGAGGGGTAGTTGATTATATTGATACCCTACTACATCTATACCAGCCAATATTCTTGTGATGCTTACATGTATTAGTAAACTGATACAACACAATGGATTTAGTTGAACCCTGACTTTCTTACAACTCATCTTTCAAATCAAAGTATCAACAAGAATTAAAGTTGATATTATGATGTTGTTAGGTCCTGTGGGATTCCATTAGTTGTGACTTAGGACACCTTTCATGGCTGGGTTATGGATCCAACATGATCCATTGAATGTGGATCCACTGGAACCATTAGTTGTGACCCAGGAATCGTTTTCATGGCTTGATTGTGGATCCATCTTGATCCAGTCGTTTTGTGTTAGAACTCCTTTATTGTCAGTATTTGATCCAGTGGTTTTGACTTGGGATGCTTTCACGTCTTGATTGTGGCTCCAGCTGGACCCAGTAGTTGTGACTTAGGACTTGTTTCATACTTTGACATGAGATCCAACTGCACCAAGTGGTTGTGACTTACGTCTTGTTTCATACTTTGACATGAGATGCAACTGCACCCAGTGGTTGTGATCCAACTGCACCCAGTGGTTGTGACTAATGACTTGTTTCATACTTTGACATGAGATCCAACTGCACCCAGTGGTTGTGACTTACGTCTTGTTTCATACTTTGACATGAGATCCAACTGCACCCAGTGGTTGTGACTAATGACTTGTTTCATACTTTGACATGAGATCCAACTGCACCCAGTGGTTGTGACTTACGTCTTGTTTCATACTTTGACATGAGATCCAACTGCACCCAGTGGTTGTGACTAATGACTTGTTTCATACTTTGACATGAGATCCAACTGCACCCAGTGGTTGCACCCAGTTGTTTGTGGGACTACTTTGACATGAGATCCAACTGCACCCAGTGGTTGTGACTAATGACTTGTTTCATACTTTGACATGAGATCCAACTGCACCCAGTGGTTGTGACTAATGACTTGTTTCATACTTTGACATGAGATCCAACTGCACCCAGTGGTTGTGACTAATGACTTGTTTCATACTTTGACATGAGATCCAACTGCACCCAGTGGTTGTGACTAATGACTTGTTTCATACTTTGACATGAGATCCATGACATTGAGATCCAACTGCACCCAGTGGTTGTGACTAATGACTTGTTTCATACTTTGACATGAGATCCAACTGCACCCAGTGGTTGTGACTAATGACTTGTTTCATACTTTGACATGAGATCCAACTGCACCCAGTGGTTGTGACTAATATACTTTGACATGAGATCCAACTGCACCCAGTGGTTGTGACTAATGACTTGTTTCATACTTTGACATGAGATCCAACTGCACCCAGTGGTTGTGACTAATGACTTGTTTCATACTTTGACATGAGATCCAACTGCACCCAGTGGTTGTGACTAATGACTTGTTTCATACTTTGACATGAGATCCAACTGCACCCAGTGGTTGTGACTAATGACTTGTTTCATACTTTGACATGAGATCCAACTGCACCCAGTGGTTGTGACTAATGACTTGTTTCATACTTTGACATGAGATCCAACTGCACCCAGTGGTTGTGACTAATGCCGCGTATTTGTTTTGCAGGCATCTACCTGTGGGAGCACATCCTGGGAGGACTCATTGAGAAGAAGATGGGAGGCGTATGGAGCTATGGAGTCAAAAAGATTCACAGCATCAAGTTCAGGTAAGGCTGCCCAAATCAGTACAACAATCTCAAGTGGAACTGTGATTGGAGATTTCACAGACGTGGACTGTGGTATATCATGCCATCCGCTCACCTCAGAGAGGGATACTGGTGCCAACATAGAGTAGAACTTGGCAATTCCTCTCATTTGTCCTGCTGTGGTTGAATAAATATGGTTTAATGTCTGTGATGGGAGTAACCTATCTGATCTGCTTTGTCAGTTGGTTCAACTCAGTTCAACACAATGTCTGTGAATAGTACCTTTACTAAGTTCATGTTTTGTCAGTCAGTTTGACAGAATTCTTCAAAGGACTCTTGAATAAGTACATGTTTTGTCAGCCATTCAACATAATTCAACTGAAATATTCTTGAAAACAACCTCTGTTACCATTCCATGTTTTGTCCATTGGTTCAACACAATTTGATACAAAGACTGTTGAATACGTCCATGTTTTGTAAGTCAACAGAATTCAACTCCAAGACTCATAAATACTCCCTTTGTGAAGTCCATATTTTGTCATCCAGTGAAACAGAATTCCATACAAAGACTGTTGTATACTACCATTGTTACCTAGCCCATGTTGTATCAGTCAGTTCCACACAATTCCTACGCAGACTCCTAACGTCTCCCAATGCTACCTCGCCCATGTTGTGTCAGATAGTTCAACAACAAGTCACTTTGGCATGTGTAATAAATTGTTCGTTGAGGAATATCATAATGAAGACGGATCATGTTCATTGAGTATGGAATTCATCTTTCGGCTACAACAGCCAAGGGAATATTATCTCCGGGATTTGCAACTCATGAATCTCTAAGTTGATGCAGCTTAGTAATGTTTTTGTTGAGCGTCAATATATCTTACATAATTCCTAGGCGAGAACAATATGAATGGCCATCGATGGAGTAACAGGTTAACACAAGGACGTTATTTCAGATGATGAATGCTTCTGCCCGTCCATGGCATAATCAAATAAAGATAAATCTCAGCTTGATTACTGCGCTCCACCGAGAAATTGATTCATTAGCAGACGATTTGCAAGTCATGAGATGATCACCTGGAATGCCAATTATCAAATATGTCGGCATTTTCATTTTTGGCTCCCCTTCTCTGGATCAGTAGTGAAATGAACAGGAGCGAGTGAGTGACAAATGAGAATGATATGTACAAGACGAGGCCAGACATGCGACATCAATCACCTCCTGAAACAAACCTATTTCGGAAAGCTGAGATTGGTGCTCTTCAGGTCAGAACAAGGGTTTGACAAGGAAACGTACTTAATTTGACATCAGTACCGATCACGATTTTGATTGAATAATCTTCTTAAAGGTGATTAATGCTATCATCTCTGCCCAATTTGTATGTTGTTAGAAATAGATTTAATTACAGATACGTTTTGTAGCAAACAACCCAATTATGGTAAAGATATTGGATAAAAAAGCACAGGAATATGCTAACCTCATAATTGCTTTTTTGGCTTTTAGGCGTGGCTGAATAGAGATTAAAAACATGTTTTTTTAATATTGGGAAGGCACCATAGAGAGACAAGAAAAGTTTTTACATGTTTACAAAGAGCAGATATTTATGTATAATTTTCACAAAGATTACTTGCGTCGAATTTCAAGTAGGGCTATGTTTACTTTTTGACAAGTGAATGTGAATTATTATAATAATATGTTATGACTTTGTTACGAATATTCAGAAAGAAAGGAATTCCTGTTTAACGCAACCTCCCGTTAGGTAAATTTTGTTTTAACCATCAATGTAGTCTCGTTGATTGAGCTGCCTGGAGAGCACAAGGCCCGTGGTTCAGACCAAGGCTGACATTAAAGATGGTATTTGTTGAAACTTGCCTGTTGCAAGGCATTAAGATGATAAAACAAGTAGTTATTGACTTGGAGACAGAATACAGTGGCTGAGTGGGATGTCCATGTTAAACTGTGGTATATCAGTGGAACCCACTGTAGAACTGGCTGTAGTTCAAGCTGATACAAGGGGCAGTGGGGTAGCCTAGTGGTTAAAGCGTTCGCTTGTCATGCTGAAGACCTGGGTTTGATTCCCCACATGGGTACAATGTGTGAAGCCCATTTCTGGTTTCCCCTGCTGTGATTTTGCTGTAGTATTGCTAAAAGCGGTGTAAAACTAAACTCACTCACTCAAGCTGATACAAACAGCCACACATTTTACCAACACCCATATGTCATCATATCAGTAATATTAGTCATAAAACAAACCCCCAAAAGTTTAGGATCAGGAATATTTTGGGAATTTTTTCTCGAAGTATCTTCCTTCTTCACAACAAAAAATAACCTTCAACATATTCTGGTCCTTAACTTTTTTGTGCAGCATATTTCTAGAGAAGAACTAAGGAAACATGTCTGTTTAGCGATGTCCATAAGAAATGAGGAGAATCTGCCAACAGGTGCTTGATTAAATATGGTTTCCTGGTAACATCAACAGCGTATTGAACGCTGCATGTTATTGCAGCATTAAATAAGACTTGACAAACACATTATCGAAATGTCATGTAAATACACCTCCTGAAGGTAGTTTTTTAAGAGTCTTGGCAGTCCTCCTAAACTTGCTGTAATTTAAATAAGTAGATAATATTGGTGCACACAAAAAGTCAAGTGTCAAGTTTCTCATTTGCTTCTTTATTGTCTTGGGGAAAAAATGCAACTGTCTGATTTCTGAATTCCCCGTTGGAATAAAAACTGCACTTGAAGTGAATGGTGATCGTGGCAGAGTGTATTATGAAGATGGCGCAGTCCAGATAAAGAATTCTAAGATTATTTGGAGGCTGACTTAGAAAAAACACACAGATGATTGTAGTAATGGGCATGAATTTGATCGATTCTGAGGAAATACATTCATCACTTGTCAGACTGTTACCATGTCACAGATAGAAAAAGTGGGATTTTTTTTATGTAGAATATGAAAAATGACATAATAATGTAAATGTCAATGAATATTATAGGTAGGATCGTCTTCACATTTTTTTGGTCAGCTCCGTGCAAGAGGTACGATTTCTTCGACAGATGCTTTCTTCCTCTCATTAGGTACTGTGGTTCAAAGTTGAAATACAGTGAGATGCTATTGTTATGACTTCATGATCAGAAAGGCAAGGAACAGTGTCAACACTCTCAGACACCATTTCAGTAACTTCATGATTACAGGAACAGTGATGAATCATCCAGACTGAAACAATATCAGGCACTGTTTGGTGACTCCGTAGCAATCAGAACAAGGAACAATTGTTCCAAAGTGAAAACATTATCAGATACTTTTTCTCTGATTTCATGATCACAAGTGTGAATATTGTTTTATGCTTCTTTTAGCGATATTCCAGCAATATCACGGCAGGGGACACAAGAAACGTCTTCACTCATTGTGCCTGTGTGGGGAATAGAAAATGGCAGTTTGATTTGATGACTGACTGACTGACTGAGTTTGGTTTTACGCCGCTTTTAGCAATATTCCAGCAACATCACGGCGGGGGACACCAGAAATGGGCTTCACACATTGTGCCCATGTGGGGATTCGAACCTGGGTCTTCGGCGTGACGAGCCAATGTTTAACCACTAGGCTACCCCACCGCCCCTGATTTGATGAGCTAACCTTTTAACCATTAGACTACTCCACAGAAAAATAAAGTAATAGTTGACCAAAACAGTAGACTATGATAATGGTGTAACTGGGAGAACCATATTAAAACATCTTAGAATTCCAAACATGATTGGTGAAAGGCCCTACACTGATGCTAGTAATGCTGTTTATAAGGCATACTTCCATTCAGAGAAAGATCAGAGTAGAACGGGTTAAGAACTAATATTTAAAGACCACACTTGAAGTATTTGATTCATGAACTAGTTTGCAGCACTTGGGTATTTTGCTCTCAAATATGTATCCATTTTCTCTCTCCGATGAAATGTTTGTATGGAACATAAAACAAATGCCATTTTTCACATTGGATACTCAGGAATGAAGTGTTCATGCTGTCAACCTCTAGTCAGTCTGACCGTTCATACTAGCTGTATTCGAAATACTGCGTCTAGAACATATCAAAAGTTAAAAGTAGAACCGACTCCAAATTAGTTTCAAGTTGTCCACAAACATTAGTTCTTGTTGCAAAAACTCGTTTCAGCACTTGTGTACTTTGGGAATCGAGCAGCAGTTAATAATATGCTTCAGCTTCCGCTGTGATGAAATCATTGTTTGAACATGTTTGTATGGATTCCACGATAAAGACTTGCTACCATTATTTCACCAAAGGCTTGGGGCGGTGGGATAGCCGAGTGGTTGAAGCTGAAGACCCGGTTATGATTCCCCACATGGGTAGAATGTTGAAGCCCATTTCTGGTGTTCCATGCCTTGAAATTGCTGGAATATTGCTAAAAGCAGCGTAAAGCTAAACTCACTAACTCACCTAAGGCTCCGAGCTGCTCATGCTATCAACCGCTGGTTTGTCTACTTCTGGTTTGATGAGTAACAGATCAGCAAGATGGCTCCCACTACACTAAATTCACTAGATGACCCAAATGTACCTAAATGTCTTCTTCCACTGCCTGAATGAACATGGTAAAATGTGTTGTAATGGCAGCACCATTAGGACCTGAAGAATGGAAAAGTGAATGATGTTTTTAATGCCAAGCTGCAAGTTCCATTTTGGCTCATCTTTATCTAATACACTGGCATCACTATTACATCACCAAGCCAAAAGTTCGCACTCTGAAGCACTTTGAGGCAGTTTCATCTCGTTATGAAGTAAAACCTTGCAAGGTTCACTTCTTGTTGGATGACTGTTTCAGATCACGATTGCACCTCAAGCACATAATGAACATGGCTTTCATCAAGATGAGGCTAGTTTTATTGTTTTAAACCCAAACTGATGCAAAACAGGACAAAAATTCCATCATCTCTCAGACTTGCACAACTCATCTACTGGAAAATAGCTTCAACACAACAAACGTTCTAGATTCAAGAACCCATCACAAGAACATT